GTAGTGCTGACACAGTGAGAAGAAGTACCAATGAGTCGGTAAATGAGTCAATAGAATCCTACAGACCTGTCAAATTAAGACTGGATGGATCAGTGAGCCTGAGAGAAGAGAGTACAAAGGAACATAAAATGTCCAACAGAAATTTGCTCACACACATTTTAAGCCAAAAATGAATAAAGAGATTCTGAAACATGTAGTGAAAAGATGAGGCTTGTAAACAAATAGAATTGAGGTAAAGAGTGGGAGGGAAATATACCTAATTATACTGTAAGGATGTTACAAGGGAAGGGAACAGTAGATTCTTCAGCAGATGATATTATCTGAGGGTATCACTACATTTTTTTCAAGTCACATGGACAAAGCACCAAAGAGACAAAGATTTAAAGACTAACAATGTGAGATCAGTCTACACAAAAGACAGGAGAGAGTTCCCAACAAGCAATGTAACTGCTAAAAAAGTAGCACAGACAAATATATTTAGGTTTTATTTAAGCAGCAGCTAGTGCTTGCACATAGATATTATGGACAATGGGATCTCTAGGTGAAGAATCTGGGGTCTGCAGTAAAAGTGAATGGCTACAGTGAGGGATTCTGAGTGCCTGTTTTTGCAGAGCACTCATCTTCAAACTGCTTTGATCTGCCATCCCTATCAATAAAAAAAATTTTGAGCATGCTCCACAAAGGCTGGGCCCTTGGAGTTAGCTCCAGAATCTGCTAAGCTCTGAAGGAGTTGCCTGATTTTCACACCCCATGCTTCAGCTGGGATGAAAGCCAGGGTGAGCCACACTGTGCTGGAGACACCATAAGGCCAAGGGAGATACTAGGGAAGAAAAGTAAACTAGTAAGATTGATATCTCCAGAGAAATTTCATCTTTCAGTGCTTAGATACCCATTGCTTGAATTGATTCTCAGAGTCCCCTCCCATTGTTTGGGAGGATGTTTGCTGGGAAGTGTTTTTACTGTTCTTGGAGTCTTTGGAGAAACGAAAATTATTTATTCTAACAGATAACAGTTTGGACACAAAAATAATCATTTCCATCTGACTGTAAATGAGGCACTAAACCTTTCATTAGAACACTTAATTTTGATCTAAAATACTAAATCATTCAACCTTTTGATTATTAAAAGCTAGACAGTTTAAGATACAGAATCAAGACATTTCTGGAAGCTGGAATTTTCTCTTTATAGACTGTTCTAGTCTTAGATGTGTATAATTTGTAATTTTTCAGTACTATTTGAAAAATGCAGTTATTTATGTTTTTTTTTCTCTGTTTAATAAAATTCATGTATTTTTGAATTATGTGATGGTATAATTAATGCTTGGCAATCATGTGATTTCATTTTAACGGCCAGCAATCTGAAAGATGCATCTAAGTGATTTCAATGACTCCTATTTAGCTGTAGCAGTCTGGGAGATCAGCCTGTCAGGTAGGAAAAGTTTAATTTCCAGTGTGTTTACATGCATAGGCAAACCCCTTTTTTCTTGTCTTTTGTGTGCCAGGGATCAGGAAGAATGTAAGTACTTAGCAAGACTTCTCAGTTGTCTGGAATAATGAAAGGAAATGGCCTCTGTATTTGTTCTTCTTAATTGACTTCTGTTGTCCTGAATAGAAGTTTAAAAATCCATTGCAAATCAAGAATTTTCTCACTGTTGAGCAACATGTAATTCCAGGAAGATTAATGTAATCCATCAGATCTATTCTCTTGTTCTTTGGATTAACAAATTTAGCTAAAATCTAATTTCTTAGTCCAATTTTATTTCCATTCCAGGAGTTTGCAGGGTTATATGGATTCAAGATTCAATAAGATGGAAGACTTAAACTGAGGAACAGGAAATATGATTTTAATCTATTTTAATCTTGTAGTGCAATTTTACATTTTGAATTCCTGTGGAAATACTGATTTTATTTTGGTGTTCACCATTGAACATACATGCTGGTATATTCTCTGTGATAGTTCCCCTGACCAAGAGGATGGATTATACCTATACCAATCTGGGTCAAGCAATTGTGCAATTTAATGTGCACCCATTTAGGATCCTAATTTTGCATTTTATTATACCAAAAAAAAATGGGTTCATTTTTTATCAGAAGATTAATTTGTATCAAGATCTAGTTGGATTGAATTGGAATTCAATTACAATGCACAAATAGCTCTAAATGTGTTATTTTTGTTACCTATCCAGATTGTTGGTGGTAGTTTTACTTAAAGCTTTAGAAAATATTTTTTACTGAAAACTGAGCATTAAAACTCCATCTATACTTAGGGAATTGGGCAGGTTGTTTCTGTTTGTTCATGTCTTTTGGTATTTTAAACTAGCTTAATTTCCACTCTTACATGTTATTTTTCTTAACATTTTGTAAAAGAAAGATAAACTTTCCTGGCTTCTCAGCTCCCAGTTAATTTTTCAGCTTTCAGTGAACAAGTCTTTGAACTGAACTAGTTGAATAAGCCAAAACATTTCCCTGTACTAAGAAGAAAGGCTCCTGTTTTCAAAATAAGTTTCCGTATCTTTTAACAAGCCATGAATCTAGAAGTTTGGACAGTGGGTTATGTGGATTTAGTGGTTTGGTTTAAAGTGCCAACTGAGAACCTGTCCTACTTGCTCTTTTCAAGCTGATTTTTAAACAGGTTATTTAAGAAAAACCCCAAAGGGAATATGCTTCTGCACTTCAGCTGCTTTAGTTTACACTCCAACAGAAGTTTAAATTACCTGTATTTGTAATGTTTCCTGCATGTCCAGTGACAGCAGCAGTGGCTGATAAAGGAGCAGCTACTGAGTAGGTTACATGCACAATATTCTGCTAAAAACAGTAAAAATGTAATCTCCATCCCACTACTGCTGGAAGATAGGTGTTCATAATTTCATTATATTCTTTCTGCCTAGAGATGAATGCGCTTTCTTCTAAGCTAATTCTATTTTTTTTCCTCTTCATTGTGGGGTATGAGAATAGATTAAGGAAGCCCATTACATGCTGAAAGTCTTGGTTTGGTCAAAAATTAGATTAGAATTAGGGTGAAGGTATTCAGGCACTAAAGGGCACAAATCCTGACTTGTAAAACCAGCCCTAGACTGACCATTCCAGTGCCTCTTCAGCTACTCTAAGATTAATCTTGTTCATTCAAAGAGAGGTTCTCTGCTTTTCTTAAAACGCAGCCTGCATAATTCTTTGCTTTTTGTCACCTATCAGGCCATCTTTTTGCATTGTCGCAATGCTGCTAGCTGAATTTAGTGTTATTTTTTTCTCTCTTTGTAAATTTCTACTGCCAAACAGTTGCCAGCAGAACCTAGCTGTGAGTATTGTGGAATAATCCCAGCAGATTAATGTCTGTCCCTCTGTTTCACACTGCAATGTCTGTACTCCTGTACACGGGGTACCTGCTTTGTACTGTGAACCCCCTCTTCCTTCCTTCTGGGTTCCACTTTTGTCCAGGGAGCCTTCCTGCTTTCAGGCTCAGTACCCCCGGTGAGTATGTGACATTGGTTTATTCTTCTTTTCCCCCACAGCTGCCTTTGAATTCTCTCATTTAATGCCTGGAGCTCTTTTCAATCAGCTATTCAGTCAGCAAAATTGATGACTACATACCGCTTTCCCTTGAGTTTTTCCCACAGGTGTGTTTAAAGCGTGGTTTGAAGGAAATCAGGATGGTGACTCTTGCTCTTTTTATGATGAATAAATGTCTCCCATTCACAAAAAAACCCCAACAACAACAAAAGACCCACAAACATGTTCTCCCCCCTCTCACTACTCCCAGAAAAAAAGTCTGCATCCTTTGCTATGTTTCCTACGGGAGGGCTCTTTGGAGAGGTCGAAAACAGGGAGCTTTCACCATCCTTCATAACAGAGTTGTTGAAGCCTTTTTTTATCCTAAACAACAAACCCTCTTTACTGCGTTTTTCACTGCTGCTTACAAGCAGGGCAAAGTTAGAGCGGTGTGCTTCCACTGCCGAGGAGAAGAGCAAGGAGCTGAGCCCCGCTCCCGGCTCCTCGGAGCGAGGGCGCGGAGCCGCTCCGGGGCCGCGAGGGGCGGCCCGGGGGCAGCGCTGGAGGAGGGGACACCGGGAGCCGCTGATGGCCCCGCCACCGGGCTTTCGCCGCTCTCTGGCGCGGCGGTTCCCTGCTCTGCTCCCTGCGGCGTCGCAGCTGTCGAGCCCAGGGTAAGGGAATGCTGCGAGCTCCTGCTGCAGCCCTGCATTTGTTACCCGGCGGCCGGGCAGAGAAAAGCCGAATAGGATAGCGTGTCTTCCCTGGGAGGATTGTCACGTCGCCCCACACAGTACTCGGGTGCGGCCTTCAGCCACCGCCATCTCTCAGGGTACCAATCACCTCCTGCCAATCTCTTCTGCATCGTGTTTTGATGCCACATTTAAAAATTACTCAGAAATCTGAAAAAACTTTTCAAAGTAATGTCTTTAAACAATCTTCCTTTTTCATCTGAGATTGGCAGACACTTAGTGAAGATCAGTCCAGGATCCCAGTGGGGTGAAACAACTGTGCAACCATTTCAAGTTGATTATGGTACAGACTCATAGAAATATACATGGTGTGAGTCTGGCCCATGGTACTCCTGTAGCTCTTCGGGATGACAGCTGGGAGAGCCTGATTCTGCACGATGGCTGAATGTGACAGAGCATATGAATGTTGCCTACTTTGGGAACCAGTGCACGCTGGAAAGTACAGTGGACATCTTTAAAAATCACTGTCTTATGGTTTCCCTCTATTAAATGCCACTGTGTTGCTAAACAGAGATGTAGGGAAGCTCTAGTGTGCCTGTTGCCATCCTTTTAGTGTACAGCTAGCTAGCTTGGTGGCGGGGCACAAGGAGGTGCTGGTGGGTGGTCATGTAGGGCAAGGTGGCAAGGGAATCCTTGATTACAGGTTGGTCCTATGTGTAACTGTGGTAGGGAACTGATTAGGCCTTTGCATCTGAGGGAGGTTGAATAGAAGACAAACTGACATAAAATGTATTGATAAAAGGTCTTTCTATTGCATGAAAAGTGTGGTGCTCAGGCTCTGAAAGTCACAAGTCCACAAGCTCTGTCTCCAGTGACGTTGCCCAGATGGTGCAGCTCAGAACATCGATGTTCCTGCGGGTGCTGGCAAACCGGCTGAGCTCAGATTCACCTTTAGCCCAGTGTATCCTTTGGCTTCTCAAATGTAAGTTGCTCTGTGGATCGTGAAGGAGTGTGGGAGCACCTGGGAGCAAACACATCCCTGGACACTAGTGAAGAGTATAAAAAATAGATGGCATGTTAGTGAGAAAGCAGCTTAGCAGTTGTGGTGTTGAAGAGTGTGTACTTGTACTTGCTTGCATAGAGGTTGATAGCTCAAGCAAGATGGTGAGTGGCTTCCTGTAACATGTCCAAGCATCGCTGCCCTCTGTCTTGCTTTCTGTCTCAATGGAAGATTTTGTTCCCAAATCCTTGCTTTATAGCCATGTAGTAACAGGTGGTCATGGAAATGCTGAGTATTCAGATGCAGCAGAGTAGTAGAATTCCCTCATCTCTTGATGTAAATGCCAAAAGCTGCAGAGGCTACAGCAGTGAGGAGTGGGAAGGGTAGTTTGGGGCTTCAAGCTTCCTACAGGAGCTACCTGATGACAACAGTCTATATGGTTTTGAGGCCCCTCAGGAAACTGAGAAACATGCTGAGAGATTGAAGTCCAGAGTATAAATTTCTATTCAGGGGATAAATCTCGCAGAAAACTCTTTTGCTGTCTGGTGCATGAGCCCTGCTATCCTGCAATCCTGTAGTATCTTTCTCAGAGCACCCCAAAGTACTTAGCTATATTTTTAAATGCTCCACTGTCCTATTAGTTGGTCCAGAGTTTAAAGTCATGACTGACTGATGGGGGCCCCAAGGCATAGAACTAGGTTACAGGATTGTTGCAAGGTCATACTAGTTTATTAGCTCCCATTTGCTGGCTTAAAACTTTAAAGGTTTTATAAAGCTTCAGAGCTTAAATCCCCTTTCAGTTCTCTGTGTCTGTGATTTTCGCCTTTATTTTTTTTTAATGTAAACCTATTAAATCTCTTATGGGCAGCCTTTTCTGTTTGTAGAAGATCACATAATCTAACTCATGGTGGGAGGAGGCTTCCAAAGCTGTACATGCTAGACAAAAATCCTGCTGAGTTCTGTGTATTTATTTAACCTCTGCAGAACCTGACACATGCAGAAAATACTTTTGTCCCATGTCTGAAAAGAACAGCGTGCTTGTGAACCATGTGAGGATCCATTGGCGCTTCTGGTCCATTAGTTACCAAAAGTGAGTGTTAAACAACATTCAAAATGAGAAAATTCTTTTAAATAAGCAAGTTGTGGGTCTTAGGAAATCTCTGAATTACTGATACTAGCTTTTGTTCCATTTGTATATTTCTTTACTCTTTCAAGGACCGTAAGATCACTTGGAGAAGATTCACCCTGGATATGGAATGGAAGACAGCCAGGGAGGCTGCAATTTCCTATTAGTACTGTTTGGTGGTGCCTTTGGGAAAGACAGTATCACCACATATCTCTTCTCTTGCACTTCTCCCATTCCCAGCCATGCTGTGACTGCATCATGCCTTGCCTTTGTATGCCAGAAGTCAAAAAAGAACAAGGAGTAATGGGAAATCTGATATGGAAGTCAGTTGCTAAAGAATAGGGATATAATTAATGCCAGTCGACATAGTTTTATGGAAACTCGGTCTTGTCAAACAAACTTGATCTCAATAATGTAATCTCAAAGAATGGATTGTTAAAGCCAATTGTATAGATGTGAGGTACTTATACTTTCATAAAGCATTTGGCTTAGTACTGTGTGATAGTCTGGCTAAAATTTTAGTATTACATGATATCAGTAAAGTGCCTGTTAAATGGATTAGGAACTGGTTAGTAAAGAGAGCTCAAAGGCATCATTTGTGGGAAGTATCACTGAATGAGAGTGTCCAGGGGATTTGGCAAGAACTGATATCAAGTTCAGTGCTATTCAACAGGTTTGTCTATGATTTGGAAGTAACTATCAATCGTAGCTGAGTGTTAAGTTTTGCAATGTCACAAGATAGGGTGATAAATAATGAGAAAAACTATAATATAAAGTGATTAGCATCACAAGGAAAGTTAATTCTGCCAAAACGTGTATTAGCAGTCATGTTCAAAGTAATACACTTGGGAGCAAGTATCTTTCAGTCCTCCATTCTGTAGCTTTGTATTAAAAAAAAAATTATTGCTTTCCTTTGAGTTGACCACAGGATCAGGAAGTGGGAGTGCTCTGTGACCTCCGCATATGGCACTGACAGACTGCTAGTAGAATGCAGCATACACCTCAGTTTGTAGTTTTTAAAGGAAAGTAGAGAAACTTAAGAGATCAAAGCAGAGGAACCAAGATGATTGGAATGCGAAAATAGATCTCAGCTACTTTCAAAAACATTGAGAATGGTAGTGCAGAAATACCTTAATGGAGAAAAAGTGCCAGGGTGCACTTTTATCCCCCATGATCAGAGGACCCTTTCAGGACAACAGGAACCAACATCTGGAACCTAGAACAGTTTCTATTAAAATTGCTAGAGAAATTTATATTAAAATAAGGTACATTTCTTTTAATAGAAGAATGAACAAATATTGGAAAGACTTAAAAGGATGCTTTTTGTTTTTCATATCCTTAGCATCTCTCCAGTGCCTTAACAAAAGAGTCATTTTAACTCGTTCAGCTCAAAGTGTCATTTTGTAGTCTGAAATATACAGGAGGGCATCCACATGGACTTCACTCCCTTAAGTATGAATCCATGAAGTGAACACAGTGCTAAAGTTTCCTGTTGGCTAAGCATCGTCTTTGTCTTTGCATCATATGAAGTCATAGGAGCCCTGCAGTGTTTCACTGTGCCCATATCCAAAAAGAATAAACCACGTGATCAGGTAATGTGTTATGTGTATGTGTTATGTACATATATATATAATGTATATATGGATATATTATGTACATATACACACACTCTGTATATAACCTGCAAAAAATCCATCGTTCTTCCATCTTGTGCTCCCAAGCCACAAGTGTGTTTCTTGCCATGAGTAAAAGCCTTCTGTTGCTAACAGCTTAGGCTACATTTCCAGCCTGCTGCCTTCAGTCATCTTGCTAAGTCAGACAGCCTACTGTGTTCCAGGCTTGTTTTTGGGCCCCTTCACCTACACCTAGAGCTCCTGACTGTACTGAAGACTTTGTTTGGTCCATACTGCTCTATTTCCCTCTTCCTCAACCTAGAGTTCAGGTAGGTTATTTTTGGCTTTCTCTACTGGTAGGAATCAATGTGGGGAGCTGTGGAAAACTAAAAGGGTGCTTAGGAAGTCCCAGTAGGTCGAAGTAAGAAAATGCTCTGTTGTGCCCCCTTTCTTTGCACCAGTGAGGCTGCAGATCCAGGGGCGGGGCAATATTGGAAATACTCAGAGGCCTTGGGCAAAAATTAATAAGCAAAAATGGGAACAGGCACACAAACATATGTGATACAGAAAGCAGAAAGAACCATATGAGGAGGCTGATAGGAGGCCTTTCTAAATTGTTTTTTTTTATTAGAAGGTTTCAGGAGAATAAGAAAAATAATTTGCAGCCAAAGCTGCAGTTTTGAAAACCCAGAGGCTTATGTGTCCGTCTCATGAAAGAACTACAACACCCTCCTGTTTCTTTCTCATAATGGACACAGGCATGTATCCTCTCTTCCTGTTTTGTGCTTCCAGTGGAGTTGGGTTTGCTGAGCTCAGGTGACAGCTGATCCTGCTGTAAATACTGATGCTGCGTTCCTGGCAGTAACCCTGTGGCCAGGGTTAGTGACCCCTGCAACAGCTGTGTGCCCTTTACCCTTGCCTTCATTCTCTGTAATGGCACTACCACTGATTGAATAGCATTAATGTTTAAGCCTCTTTCAGGTCATTCTACTTCTATTGGTCCTCTTCTTTTATCTTAATTTGGCTGGAAGAAATGGCAGCTTTTCTTGTTGTTTGCTAATCAACCTGCCTAGAGCAACTTTGCAGGTGGCAAGGAACACGATGTGTCTGTGGCACAGAGCAAAGCCTGCCAGTGTCTCTGTGGACCAGGATTTTTTCTCAGATATGATTCATGTTCTCAAATCCAATAACTTATTTTGTGAGATTTTTTTTTCCTGTTCCATGTGTGGTTAAATTAGCATCTGTAAAGCTTTGTCAGAGGAAGAGAAAAATACTTAGCTTGTAGGATAGACAGTATCGAGCTGGTCAGGATTCTTATGTGGGATACTGCAAATATTTACTGCAGCAAATCTGAGCTGGACTTTCCCACAGGCTAGTGCAGCTGTAGGACTGTAGCAGCTGTAGGATTGAGCTCCTGCCAAAGAAGCACTTACTAATTCACACAGAATGAAGAAGTTCCAACAGGAGAGACTGTTCTCAGAAGGAGAAGTTACACCATTCACAGTACCTAGCTGTGCTGGGGAGGAGCTAAAGTCAAGTGTCAGGTCCAGAAAAGTAGACCAGGAACCCAAGTCCAAATCCCTTGTAGGTCTCTCTCTACATGCAGGCTTCTGTGCTGCCCAGTGCAAATTTAGGAAGACTTCTTTAGCAAATGTTTCCTCAAGACAGTGAATTCCTGCAAAATGTGTAAATTCAACAAACTGAGTATCTCCCAACAAAGTTGTTTACACCAAAGACACAAGGAAAAGAACTCCACAGCCCATAAGCAGTTCTGTGGATGAGATGCTGACATGTGGGTGGAGAGGGAGATGTTAAGAGAGATAACTAGTTGCCCAAGCATGGACAGACTTGAGGAAACTGCTTAACCCATGCCTCTCTTTTGAGTTCTTGCAACTGTCTTTTGTGTTTGGGCTGCAGCCTGTGACAAATGAACAAACTTTACTTGGAATCATAGGGAAGATTGGGAGGTTTAAATCATTCTCTATGCAGTCTATGCCTGCAAAATACCATACTCCCTTTCCTTTGCCAATAAAAATGGAGCTGTGTTTTGATATGTGGTGCTTTTATGTGCAGACATGAACTTTAGGATTTTAATCTGTATGGAAACAAATCCTACCATTACATTTGCTCTACTTTTCCTGTTTTCAGTGCTGTTTTGGAGCAGTTCCTAGGAGTGTTGACTTCAGATTCTTTGTGCCCATTTGGACTGGGACTACTAATCAGTGCTGTCAAAAGACATCTGAGTAGGTCTTTAATTCACCACCTTACGCTACCTAGAATTATTGTTGTGCTTGCTTGTAACTGGAAGGATGTGTTCTCTCCAGACCCTTGGTATTGCATCATGTAAGTGCAAGGTCACTTCTACAGCACTGGTTTTCATCCAGCTCCACTACTGCTTGTAAAGCATTCTCTAATAACTGCTTGGCCTTTGGAATGAGACAGGCTCAGTCTGCTGCCAGTGGACATCTGGATCAGAGTCACGGCTGGCATTGACCAGCCCCCTTGACAGTAGTCTTGGCAAAGAAGTCAGGAGTTGAACACACCATTAGATAATTAGAATCTACTCCAGTGGCTTGTAATCAAAGATCCTAAAGAAGTGGATGCAGAGGGTCCTCTTGAACTCCTAGAAGTGTAAGTCCAAAGGAGTAAAAGTGGCTCTGAAAGTGTTTTGTTTTCTCTGACAGAAACCCCTGTGTGTATGGCAAGCTTTTGCCGAGTTTCCTGACCAACTACTATCTCTGCTAGGGGGACTTGGATAGCCTGGAGGTTTATAGAAGACAGGCCTGGATCTTTCTGTGTCTTGTTCACCATCCATATAATGATTAAACATTTCAGTTGCAGAGTTTTCTATTGCTAGTGGAGGAATCACAGAGAGTATAGTTCTAAAGTGTGAGCTGAACTTTAAGATCTCTTTTCTCTCTTCTCCAGGTTGAGCACAAAGGATTGGAGGGTTTTATAAATCTGAAAATCTGACATTGAAGTTGTTGTTCTAAGGAAACAAAAGGGATGGGAATTGATCATAGCATGTGTATTCAACCTTTTTTATTTTGCCAGTACTTCTAGTGAGAAATCTCAACCTTTTCCATTTCCCCTCTGCCCTCTTGCTCTCCTGTGAAAGTGAACAAGATTCATAGCTGGGTCTACACACTTAGAGAAGTTTGAAACTAACAGTGTAAATTGAAGCTGGATTTTCTGTAAATATTTCCTCTTAGCAAAGACATTCCTAAATCAGAGGTGTTTGTGTCTGTTGTTTGCAGGTCATCAGATAAAGTGTGATGAAATATAAAGTCACTAGTCAGCAACAGCCTGTCTCAATGGCCTTTAATGAGGCTTTGGTGCAGAGTGTTTTAAACCTTTGTCTTCAAAATCAGAGCCTTTGCCTGTGCTGTGTTAGCACCATTTCATAGCCAGAATCCGTATGAAGAAACAAAGTACCTTGTTAGTGTCTGGTAACATGCAGAAGCCCTAATCCAGAGGGAGGCCTGACTAACAGGCCCCAAATTTATTTGGAATCAAAGGTCAGGACACTCATGTTAATTATGATGTCGAACTGTTTGGCAGTAGTTTGTAGTGCGCTTTCCTCTCTGCATCAGTCCTGTGCTACACTTATTTCCTTTACTGATGGTTTTGACTGATAGGGAAACTGCTAATGGATTTCTGCAGGAAAGGCTTCACACTCCAGATAGAGTCACCTCCCAAAATTAGTATCACTTTTGTTGTTGCAGTGACCTATGACAGAGACATTATTTTTACTTTAATTTGTGGCTTATAACAAGGGAGTTAAACAGATTTTGGGACTGTAGTTCAAACAGGTATGCATGTAGAATAATTTTCTCACATGAATCTTGCTGATTTTCCTCATTCTTGATTCTCTCTGCTGTTTGTCACATATCATTTCAAGAGCTAGCCCCATCTCTGACTGCAGTTATTCGTTATCAGCTCCTTTGCCTTTACCACTTCCATTTGTAATTTAAACACCCTAATTTAATAGGTTTGTCTCATTATTTTGATTAATCATATTAACTCATATTAATTAAGAGATGGATTTAGGTAATGACAGAGGTTAATGGAGTCAGTTTTCACTTTCCCCTGGTTTTTCAGGGAAGGGGGGACTTCGGTAGGAAGGGAAAATAGAAAGAGAGACTGGAAAGATTGAAAAAGAGAAACTGTTGGGGGGGAAATCTCAGTTAGCAATCAGAAATTCCCTGCTAATTGAATGTCTGATTTTATTAATGATGAAATTTATAAAGGTCCTTAAGAAAAGAAAAGAATTTAGCCAGTTCAGCAGTTAAGTGTGAATATTAACTAACTCCAAGATAAAAGTTAAAATATCCATTTTCTTTTCCTTTCTCTAGTTCTTTAAATGAAAAGCTCTCTTTGACACTTCATCCTATTAGAGCTTTAGCTTCCTTTGCCATCCATTGCTAAATGTCTGGAGACTATGCAGAGAATTCCTGTATGATTTAAGAAATGCTGACCCTGGAGGGCAGGAAGTTAATACATGGATCACCTTAGTGCTTATTTTTCCTTGATGCCTGCTCTCTGATGAGGCTTTGGTGAGTGGGAGAAGGTTTCCAGCTCTGCCCTACACTCTGTCTCTGCTCTGTCACACTTGTTTCCCTGAGGCTCGAGAAAACACAAACCCCGAGCGGAGTGTCAGATCCAGAGTGAACGTTGTGTTGGTGCTGTGGGCTACATTTCCATCTTCACAAAGGCACGGGGAATCCTTTGCTTATCCAAGACCTCCATGGCAGGATCTCACAGTTATTATTCCCAGGCATGTCCAGACTGCTCCTAATTTGTCTCTTTCCTATTTGCAGCAACACTATATAGGCGCAGAATCCCATTTGGGGAGCAGAACTCTTCATAGCCGTACTGCCATTGTGCAAATAACAGCATGAGGGCAAGTCAGAGGAAAGGGCTTTCATCCTGTGCTCCATGACACTTCAACTGACCTGCTTCAGTCAACGTTTGAACAGAAGGT